GAGCAGCAAATGAGTTTCCTCACACACACACTGCAGCCGCTCGCTCCACTTCCACAGGATAATCAGTGTATGAGGAGGTGTGTTATCAAGCTGAACCTGAAGAACAGCAGCCAATCACAGCCAGAGCACCACCAGTGACTGACAGCTGAGTGTCAAAGTTTTTGTGTGTGTGTGTGTGTGTGTGTGTGTGTGTGTGTGTGTGTGTGTGTGTGTGTGTCTGTCTGTCTGTCCTTGTGCAGGTGCATGATGGTAAGGGCAGGCCTCATCAACATGCACAGCAAACAGCAGCACTGCACAAGAAACACACAAACACACACAGAGTCCAGCATTAGAGCAGCAGCAGTGGCACCTGATGTGTGTGTGTCTTCACTATTTTCACACCAGAGGAACATTTTAATACACAACATACTTATAATACACATTATTATTCTAGAGTGGGGTGCAGTGGTGCTCCAAACACATGCGCTATAGGGGAACTGATCAACTACACTGGCCGTAGTGTATGAGTGTGTGTTTGAGTGTGTATGGGTGTTTCCCAGTACTGGCTTGCAGCTGAAAGGGCATCCGCTGTGTAAAACATATGCTGGAATAGTTGGCGGTTCATTCCGCTGTGGTGACCCCTGATTAATAAAGGGACTGAACCGAAGGAGAGTGAATGAATGTGTTGTGGAGCTTTCTGTTTAATAAAATAATGCAGATTTTGGTGTGTGTGTGTGTGTGTGTGTGTGTGTGTGTATGTGTGTGTGTGTGTGTGTGTGTGTGTGTGTGTGTGTGTGTTATGGCCTCATCTGTGATTGCCTTCATCAGTCACACAGCTGCATCTCATCTGGCCCAGTTTCTGTACTTTCTGTAGACTTTGTATGCGTGTGTGTGTATGAGTGTATGTATGTGTGTGTGTGAGTGTGTGTATGAGTGTATGTATGTGTGTGTGTGAGTGTGTGATTGTGTTTGTAATAACAGAAAGCATCAGTTCAGCACTATGTGCTCTATATGCACTGTATTCTTAAGTCTCCCTATTCGTGTACACAGTAGAAGAAGTGGCGAGAGTAATGTGGCTCCGGCCTAAAATTATTAAAATCTTGATATAAAAATATTGTTTAATGATAACAAAGACTTAATTAATGAGTGTCTTCCTTCAATAGAGACTTTAACAACACAGAAAATCATTCTTGACATTAACCTGCTGGACATGTGCTGCAGATTTTATTTATATTACATATATTATTTATAATATTATAATATATGACCCATTTTGTGTGTGTATATATATATATATGTGTGTGTTTGTGTGTGTTTGTGTTTGTGTGTGTGTGTGTGTATGATGAATACAGTGAGCTGTAGATATTAGTGATGAGTCAGCAGTTGCTTTAACCCCGTGTGTGCCGCATTGATCTGATTTGAACTCACACTCACACACACACTCACACACACACTCACACACACTCGCACACACACACCGGCACCAGTGACCGAGGGAAGCAGCGCGAGACACCGGTGGGTTTACACTCCTTTTCGGCGAGACTCAGGTCAGACTGCAGTGTGTGTGTGACTGTGTGTGATGCGCAGGGTGAGTGTGTGTGTGTCTGCAGTCGGTCAGTCTCCGCGCACCGGGAAGCAGCAGCAACATCATAGCCGGTAAACAGCCGTTCATTCCGCTTTAGCGTGTGTGTGTGTGTGTGTGTGTGTGTGTGTATGATGACGGTAAAGCTACAGTATAATTTAATGTGTGTGTATGTGTGTGTGTCCTTTATGTGCGTCCGCCATGCAAGCGTCAGTAGAACAGAGGTTGAGTTATCGGTGTGTAATTTGACAGTCATCACACACACACACACACACACACACATGCGCGTGGCGGTGTGTAAATCAGCATGTATGCAGTGTGTGTCAGTAATGTCATCTCGCTTGTATTATGGTTGTGTTTCTGCGGTGTCACGTGATTATTTGAGTTTGGGAAGTTCGCCGCCGGTACCGGGCCGGTTTATGTGCTTCTGCAATGCGGTGGGTGTGGCCTGCGCGTGC